TCATGAACCTTTGCGTTTTTATTTCGTTACTTTATTGCGTTTTCGGCATTATTCAACTTGTAGTTGTAGTAGAAAAGGCAGTGATCTTTATAAATAATTGTATTTATGATAGTCTAAACCCAATATATATATATATATATATATATATATATATATATATATATATATATATATATATATAATACGACATGATGACTCAGCCATTCAAGCTTCTAATTTAGCGATACACCATCTCAAAACCGAAACAAGAAGAAAGCAACACAATCAACAATCCACAACAACCATCTTCAATCTTCACAGGCAGTTGACGAGTTTTTCAGATACCTTGTGTTAGTTGTCATTTTTGAACTTTCATTCTACGACGCCTCTATCCAGGCCATGAACTATTTCTGGTGATAATAATTTTTGTATACTTGTCGACAGTACATAACGCAAACGGTTTGAATTGCTGAGTCATCAGGTCTATTGTGTGTGTGTATATATATATATATATATATATATATATATATATATATATATATATATATTTATTTATTTATGTCTTTGCTTCTCTCTCGATGTCTTACCTTTTTTCCTGAGAGCTTGTAAAGGGAAACGAAACGGCTCGAGATTCACGTGGGAATAAAGATAATATTTTATTACGCCTGAATTGTGTTTGTTTTATTTATTTTAACCCACAACAAGGTGTCTTGTTAGTAGCAAAAGTTTGTACTAATAACCTAATGTTTCTTTGTGTCATTTGGAATCTTTAGAGTTGTTGTAATCTGTATTGCCTAAGAGATCATGTCTAAGTCATATAATTAGAATAAATATAAAGGCCTTCGCTCATTTTGACGGTCGAACAAGGAGCTTACTTCCGGAGGAAAATTGGAGGGTGATTTTTTATCGCCCAAGTCAAAAGTTACGATCGTATATTTACTAATTTCGGAATATTGCTTTTATTTAAAATTTCAAAATGTTTTAAAAGGTGATACGGCATAAGTTTACATTCCGAACTACAACTAGATGCTGTTTTAGGATAGATATTGCTGTATGACGGTTAAGTATCTTTTTGCATTTTAAATAAAAAAAATTTTTTGTGAACCACCAACAACACTTAATGAGTAATGACTTAACTCATTAAATGTAACAACACTAAACGACGACTAATTAATAATTAAATTACTAAATTCTAATAATTAAACTAAAACTAATCTCTACTGATTCTAATTACTAATTGAAATAAATAACATAACACCAACGAACATTAACAGATTAGACTACTAGAAACTACCAACCACTACACTACTACATGAGACTGAACTTAGCCACAATGACCGACCTATATAATTTTATAAGCAATCTTCGATGCCAATTATACACACGTTAAAAAGCCAATTATACACGTTAAAAAGAGATAAACGTAAAAGAGAGAGTGTACAGCAAGCCTGCATGCATATGGGATATATGTTATATTATGTTATATATGATATATGCTGTTTAAGTAGCAGCTGACATGTATGCATGTTATTATAAGCTTATATGCTATATTATGATATATGTTATATGCTGTTTAAGCGGCAGCTAACAGGTATGCATATATACATGTATATATAATTATATAGTTATATATCGATGCTATAAAAATATATAATACCGTAGTTGTGTGTATTTGATAATCCTATTAATTTCTATTATTTATTAGTAAATTAAATTTTGTGTGGTGTAAATATTAGATAATAATTGTTATTTTTCTGCTGTATTTGTAGAAAAACATACACAATGAACACACAATGCATTTTTTTAAGAACATGGTATGTTTCATCTTACGCAATTAAATAACTTCGTTTAGTTACAATTTTCAACGCAAAAACTAAAAACTAATGTTAAAGGTTAGGCTAGGCATACGTGACACATAATTACAACGTCACTAATTGTGAGGTGAGCTGGACAATTTTCTTTGTGCTACAACATGGGTTTTGCATAAATTATAAGCTGTGCAAGTGTGCACGTGCATACATGGCACATAATAACAACATCACTAATTGTGAGGTGAGCTGGTCAATTTTCTTTATGCTATAACACGGGTTATGCATAAATTATAAGCTGATCTTTGTGTACAGAATTTGGCATATCACACAACTTATTTATATATTTGAATTAATTAACTATTTGCTTGGTGTTATTTTTTGATGTTCAACATAACCGTAAATGTGAGTATTTTTTTAACGTATGTAAAATGGTAACTAAAATCCGGTTTAAATTGAGTGTGTTTAAGCGTCTCACTGGTAACTATTTTAATGAAATGACAACAACACAATTTCACTTGTACAATTTTAATAGGAAAGACGTCACTGGTTGCCCATTTCATTGCATATTGCAAATACGTCGGAATTTCCATCGTGTTAAATTCTTTCAAAACAGCCTCAATAAGTGCCATAGAAAAATCGGTTACAACATTTGAATACAAAGGCCATTCTTTCAATTTTTTTGAGACGTAGTGCTTATAGTCAATAAGTACTTGACTTATGTGATCCACGTCGTGCCTACATGTTACAAAGTCGATCATTGGAATTATTCTATTATCTACTGAAATAACACCAGAGTATTAAAAAATTCTCTTCTGCTTTGAGCTGGTCCTTCTTATCACCGATCCCGTTGAATCAAAATACAACACTGGCAATATGTTCTTTTTTTTGTTTCGTTTAGCATCTTCAACCTGTTTGTATGAATATGAAACGATGCATAACGGCTCACTAACATGTATAAATCTATCACTATCTGAAGCAAGTAGTTCTTTTCTTAGCTTTATAATTACATCAAAAACGTCATCTTTATCCTCATCGTCAACACTCAATGACTCAGATCTAGCATTAGCTAAAACGTCATTTGAGTGAATTTGCATCATGTTACCTTGATGCACTGTATTATCATCGGAGGCATTAATACAGTCTATTCGGACAAGTGACGGTAGCTGATTAGCCAGTTTTATTTATCTGTTATTTCTTTCTAAACCTCTCAATTGACGTATTCCTTTTCCTACGTGAAAATAGTACTCTATGACCAATGAATCAGACGGGCTGGGTGATTTGATTTGCAAATTTATTTATTTACAAACATACATACGTACGTACATACATACTCACACACGCACACACACATATATAAACATATATTGGTATGAATGGGAAAATTATAAACTGTAATCATTGGTTCGGGCATAATGCATGCAGAACCAATGGCACCGCTCTCATCTAACCCAATGATGAACTACGTTGTGCGATTGGCTGCAATAAAAAGGGCACACATACACGAGCGCACACCGCTTAAAATTCAATACTAAAAAACATACATCGATGCTACTCAACTGAAAAAATAGCACAACCAAAAAAGCCCATTTAATAAAACGCACATAGAGATAAACGAACATTGTTGAATTTGAAGTCAATTAAATTTATCATTGAATTAATTGTTAAAGATATCGTTGGATTATTTTGTTAATTATTGACACATACAATACACACACAAACACAATACATACACAAACATAATACATACACAAACACACCCACGCATACACAGGCTAGAGGAACGTGTAATTTAATTTTTTTTGTTGATCCATTTATTCACAATAAAATAAAGTGAAAGAGTCAGCCTAGCAAAAAATGCTTATCTAGGGTTGACGTGTTATAATGATTTTTATAATGAAATAAATTTTTTATAAATGAAATAAATTACCTTTCTATTGTTAGAAAGGTAATTTAATTCTGCATCAGTGGTAAAAATCTTTTTTTGAGGCCGCAATTATGAATGGTGAAAAAAAATGTTTTTGTGATTTCATGCGCAATGAAATTGTTTTAGTTTTTCGAGTTTTGAAC